AGAACAGCAACAAGCCAATGCTGGAAATTCTATTTTCTTCTATATTCTTTGGACATATCCTAATGAACAAGAGATCTGATTCACAGAGTTTCTCCTCTCCTCTCTCTAAACAGATAGAATATTACTCTGGATGTTTCCAGATCTAGGCTACAGAGGTACTTTTAGTACCTACCAGAGCACTCAAACAGATTTTATCTGCAGGAAGAACATGCGTTTACCATCTGCACTGACAAGCACATGAAACTGAGATGGTCTTGGCTCTGCCAGGAGTATGCGATCCTCACTACCACACAGATCAGTTTACTTTACAGGAACTGGCAGCAACCTGGGGGATAGCTGCACCCCTACAAAGGTAGTCCAAGAAAGTCCTAAGAGGCAATTTTCAAGTTACCTCTACTGCTTAAAAGACGTCCCTGTTATTTTAAAGTCAGCTACAGAGTATTAAGTCCAGACATGAAAATCTGTTTGGGTTTTTTTTGTCTTCAGAAATGCTTACAACTTTCAAGTGTTGTTCTCCTCCTTTTGTTGCAATGAAGAGGCTATTATCATCCAAGAGTTGTTTGTGACACTGCAGTAGTGTAACTCTCCACAAAAAAAAGGCCACCTTTCTCCAAGCCATGCTTGGAGAAACAGAACACTCACTTACTGAGGAGTCATCCAGGATAACTGGCTGCACAGAAAGCCAAACCGTAGAAGCCAACTGGTCAAGCAGATACAAGTCACTTGTACTTCACAGCATCCACAAGAAATGAGTTTATGACTGACAAGCTTGATTTAACCTAAACCATAAGATAAAGAGGCTACCCGGGGGAGCTAGTTGTATCTTGCCCTTAAACAGCCAAAGACAAGTCACCATGATCAGATCTGTGGTCAGCGTGCAGTCACACCTGCAAACAATGACGTTACTCCCAACAAAAAGCACTAGCTGCACTCTTCAGTGTTTTCCAAAGGCTAACCTTTCAGCACATCTGCACACCAATATACACTGAAGCAATTAACTCTCCAATTACTGTCAGGAATTAGATCCCACAAAAACACAGGAAGCTTCAGGTGTCTAGTTTTCTCTAGGGAAAGAGGCATTAGGATGACTTCCAGAATTCATCAGCCTGAGACACACACAAGCTGAAGAAGAGCTGCGACCTGCCAGTCTCCAGGTGATGATCAAGTTTAATCTTAACAGAAATCATATTAACCACATGCTGCCGCCTCCTCCTAAACAAAGCACCCTCCAGACTGCTCTGATCAGCTGTTCCCCTGCCTTCGTGGAATAAGGAGAATTTTTTCAGTTTAATTAGGAGCACGTTCTTCTCCCTCCCCCACAAACTAAGTTTTCTTCTCAATTCCTACTGTGTAGAAACTAATTCTTGCAAGTTTATAAGTGACAGTAAACTCCCGTTGGGAACGCAACCTGGCTGCAAGCTATTACCAAGCCATCCTCAGGGCTTTGGTTTGCTTACTTTAACACGCACAGCCTTCCAGTGATGCCTTTGTCAACATTCTCTGTACCAGCAGCATACACACCACCCACCTACCCCCAATCTATCTGGATGAAGTACTCTGATTTAAGAGCATAAATCATGAGCAGCTCTGCAACTGGAAACCACAGCCATGCAAGTGAAGTTCAATTTTTAGAGGAAATCAGATAATTCAGCTCTCCACTCTGCCCTTCATCCTGCCCGGTTGCCCAACACCATTTAAAACACACAACTCTACTTCAGGCATAGATCAGGTCACTCATTACATTGTGCAATCATCACCGTTATGCCTACTGTACAGTACTGGCCTTTAAGGATAAATCAAAACCAGAGAAAGCTACAGGCTTTCATTAAATTTACAGCCGGCAGCCTCACATAAAGTAGGAAGTCTGAACAAAGGCAAAGCCCGACAGCGAAGCGGCAAGGAGAAAAGCAGAAATAAAACAGTAGTGCCTGAAACAGGCATCCCTCCCCATCACGAATAAAACCTGTCGGGAGGCCAGAGCCGGCTCCAAGGGCCGAAATGCACTCAAGGGCCTGGCGCGGAGCTCAGCGTCCTCCAGGCCTTCACACAGAGTGCAGCCGAGCCGAGAGGGACCTCAGGGACTGCAGGTCAGACCGCCGACCCTCCCCAACCGGCTACGGGGGGCGGATTTTATTCAGGCACGCGTCTACCCAGCCGCCACCCGCCATTTTGTCCCCGGGGGTCCAGCGGCACGAGAAAGGGGGAAGCGGGGGCGGAACGACGGAGGACAGACAGGACACGGACCGACACCCTCCCCTGCCGCCCTTTCCCACCCCCTCGGCCGGCACACGGGTCCCCGCGGCCGCCCCGCCCGCCCCTACCCCGCACAGCGGAGTTGTGCCCCGGCCCCATGGCTCCCGCTCC